CAGTAAAAACAGTAGAAACAGCAGTGGTTCCATACAACATATAACAATTGACTTAACACATTATCCATAAATTACCAATAAGCAATTACAATGCACAATTATTACAAAAAACAACCGTACCCAATCTTCTCATCATCCAAGCGTAGTCCAGGTTCGTCGTCCATTGTTCCATTCCTATGTTCCATTACCAGATTGCACTAAATTACTTAAACGCCTGCACAAACATCCAGGTCTTCACCTTTTTGCGGAATACCATTAGAGATGGTGCTAGTCTAATGTCCGTAGGAAGGGCGTTCCACAGCCGAGGAGCCACCACCGAGAAGGCCCTATCTCTCGTCCCCGCCAGCCGAGCTTGAGAAGCAGGCGGGATCGAGAGCATGGTCTCCCCGGAAGATCTCAAAGTCCTGGTGGGTTCATAGGCAGAGATGCGGTCAGATAGGTAGCTTGGGCCAGAACTGGTTTAGGGCTTTATTGGCCAAAGCCAGCACTTTGAATTGGGCCCAGTAGCAAACCAGCAGCCAGTGGAGCTGGCGCAACAAGGGGGTTGTATGCTCCCTGAGCGCCGCTCCTGGCTGCCGTTCAAAAATCATGGCTGCCGAAGCGTTGGACTAGTTGGAGCTTCCGAGCTGTCTTCAAAGGCAACCCCACGTAGAGAGCGTTGCAGTAGTCTAAACGGGATGTAACCAGAGTGTGGACTACCGTGGCCAAGTCAGACTTCCCAAGGTACGGGCGCAGCTGGCGCACAAGCTTTAGCTGTGCAAATGCTCCCCTGGTCACCGCCGAAACCTGGGGTTCCAGGCTCAGCGATGAGTCCAGGGTCACACCCAAGCTGCGAACCTGCGTCTTCAGGGGGAGTGCGGCCCCATCCAACACAGGCTGTAACCCTATGTCCTGTTCGGCCTTGCGACTGACCAGGAGTACCTCTGTCTTGTCTGGATTCAATTTCAATTTGTTCGCCCTCATCCAGACCGTCACAGCGGCCAAGCACCGGTTCAGGACCTGGACAGCCTCCTTAGTAGCAGGTGGAAAGGAGTGACAGAGTTGGACATCATCCGCGTACAGATGACACCGAACCCCGAAACTCCGGATGATCTCCCCCAGCGGCTTCATGTAGATGTTAAACAACATGGGAGACAATATTGAGCCCTGAGGAACCCCACAAGACAATGGTTGTGGGGTTGAACAGGTGTCCCCCAACAACACCTTCTGAGATCGACCCTCCAGGAATGACCGGAGCCACTGCAAAACAGTACCTCCAAGACCCATCCCCGCGAGGCGTCCCAGAAGGATACCGTGGTCGACGGTATCGAAGCCGCTGAGAGGTCCAGCAGCACCAACAGGGACACACTCCCCCTGTCGAGCTCCCGGCGCAGATCATCCACTAAGGCGACCAAGGCTGTCTCGGTACCATGTCCCGGCTTAAAGCCAGACTGTGCCGGGTCTAGATAATCCGTGTCTACCAAGAATACCTGGAGTTGTGAGGCCACCACACGTTCCAAGACTTTGCCCAAGAAGGGGAGATTGGAAACTGGCCGATAGTTGTTGAATTTAGTGGGGTCCAGTGATGGTTTCTTCAACAGCGGTTTTATTATAGCTTGTTTTAAGCTCGCTGGAATCTTGCCTTCCCGAAGGGAAGCATTAACCACCACCGTTACCCACTCAGCCAATCCCCCTCTGGCCTCCTTTAGAAGCCAGGATGGGCAGGGGTCCAGGATGCATGTGGTTGGCCTCATTCCTCCAAGTATCTTGTCCACATCCTCGGGTTTCACCAATTGAAATGAACCATCAAAACTGGACAAGCAGGTGCTCGTGTTACATCCTCAGAGACTGCCATTAACATGGTATCCAGACCAGAACGGATCAAAGCGACTTTGTCTGTAAAGAACTGAGCAAAAGCTTCACAGCGAGAAGTCGAATCGTCAGGGTTCCCACCTTGAGTGGTGGGATTTAAAAGGCCTCTGACAATTCGGAACAGCTCAGCCGGACGGTTCTTTGCAGACGCAATAGTGGCCGCAAAGAAGGCCTTCTTTGCGGCTTTTATTGCCGCGGCATATGCCCTTAAAAAGGACACAAACCGTGTTCGATTTGGCTCACTCGGATCCGAATGCCACACACTCTCTAGTTCCCTCTTCCTTCGCTTCATCGCTGCCAGCTCCTCGGTGAACCAGGGAGCTGGTTTAGCTCGGCTACTTGAGAGGGGACGTAGCATAGCTCTTTATGTTGTAGTTGTTGCTGAAAAAACTAGTATTACATTGGTATTTTGTGCAGTAAACATGTAAAATTGGAATTGGAGTTTGAGCAGGGTTGCCGGACATATGTATGTCCACAGTTTTCCCATTATTCTGTGAGACACTGATGTTGGTTGCCACAATCACAATATATGAAGCTGTCTTAGCTGATGGCTTTCAATTTCGCCACTTTTCAGGGTTTAGTTTTCTTAGGAGTGCTTTCTCCTAAACAATTCATTCCCCCAGATCACATTCATTTTTTATTCTTCTCTGCCTGCCTGGACTGTTTCCCTCTGTCCATGGTGCTCACATGCCTCAGCAAATAGTTCACTGACATCTTGTACATCTGGAATCATTTACCTAATTCCACAATCTTTGAATCAAGGGTGATAAATCAAACTCCTCTATAGGCATTTCCCAGCTCAGATGTTCTACAAAAGGAAACCTTGGAGCTGATTCATATAGCCACACAGCTGTTTTAGAACCAAAGAATAGTAAGCTATATGTTTCTTCAAAACTGTTTGCCTTGATACACAGGAACATCTCAACTTTGCTATGCCAGTGCATGGGAGAAAGATTTGTGGTGAAAGTTGTGGAATAGCCCTAATAATAATTTGGAAATTGCACTTTTGGAGGCTACAGCTCTCAGTTTTTGTCCCAGGGAGCACATCAAAATGGGGGAGGGGCTTCCTGCATAAGATTTATATCTTTATAAGTGGACTTATGTATGTGGGGATTAGAATATGATATTTTCATATTGTCTGTATCCAAAAGAGAAGTGCTTTATAAAGGGGAGCTAGCAAAGTAACTGCTACCCATTGGGACCAATGTACTACAGCAGTGGTTCCCAACCTTTTTTTTTTTTTTTGACCAGGGACCACATGAATAAGGACCATTTTGACCAGAGACCACTCTCCAACATTAGTAACAAAAGGGTTATGAATCAGTTTTTGGTCAACTTTAGATTTGGTTTGGTTATTTGGGGTGCTGATTCAGAAAATTGCATTGGAAAGACCACATCGGCTCTAGTTTCTGATACAGAACATATGCCACCCAGTAGTTGCCATCTGCTCGCCCACAGAAAACCATATTTAACAATCTAGAGTTGATGTGGCAGTAATAATCTTTTGTATGTAGTCAGCCTTTCACCTCCTGACATCCCCATTGCCTTGACACTATAAGAGGGTTTTGAGACCAGTCGCTCTCATTGCCACATGGTTTTGAGGCAACGGTGTAGCAATGGTGAGGCTGCAGACCATATTTTCATTCTTGGGGACCACAGGTGGTCCACGGACCACAGGTTGGGAACCACTGTACCACAGGATCACTACACAATGGGACCAATCCACATCTGTCTTTATGCACATTGCTTTTGTTGTGCATCAGGATACCGGCTAAAGGGTACCGATGTGCATTGGTATAGCCCTGTTATGGTCCTGTGCAATTCACTAACAGCTTTTCTTATCTCTTTTGCTATGTAGCTAAGTATATATAAAGTTACATTACACAGTTGATATGGGTTTTCAGCTAATGTTTCCAACTCTGACCTCTGTGTGGTTTGACTTTACCATTATCTGGCAGCCACTAATGAATTTGCCTGCAGAGATAAAACTGAAAGATTCAATTGCAACACATATACTCAAGATATAACCTGACTGAATGGAAATACTTTATCCTTGTTGATGCATTGATTCATCATTACATTTTGTCTACTTTTCCCTGCCTATTAAATAGATTCATAGAATGGCTATACAGTCCACTTCCTTAATTTCATTTGTATTCTTGAATAATTAATTGAAATAAAACCTGTTTAAAAATTCAAATAGGAAATGAAGTTATTTCTCGGTTGTGTTTGATAACTCTAAGTACCAAATCTTACTTGCCAAAAAGGCAAGCAATAGTACAACTGGAGACTGTAGAAGGGAGGGAAGGAGAAACAAAGGAACTGGGAAGTTTAGATGAATATAATGTTTTAGGTACCAAAAAGGAAAGTAGCCAAGCAGTGCAGAACAGAGTGTGTGACCCTAGTAAAATAAGAGCATGGGTCTTTGTGGTAATCTCAGACTGTATGTAATTTACTGGTATCCAAGAAGGCAGGGAGATGCCATTTCATGATCAACTCCTCTGTATTCTAGAATTACCACCGAAAATGAGTCAAAAGAGAATGTGGAAAGTGACTTCTGATTCTTTACTGTTTTCTTTGGGGTGAGGTAGTGGTGGAAATAATTATCCACTCATATACTTATAGTCATGCTTTCCTTTCTTTTCCTTTCAGTTAATTTTTCCTTATTTCTTCAGTGTTCTATTAAAATGTTCATTACTTTTAGCTATGGGAATCTGAAAGTCACTGACACCTACCAATTTGAAACAATACTTCTTGTGAGTTGGATGACTTGTTCATGTTATAAATCGGTGGTTCTCAATCTGTGGGTTCCCAGATGTTTTGGCCTTCAACTCCCAGAAATCCCAACAGCTGGTAAACTGACTGAGATTTCTGGGAGTTGAAGACCAAAGCACCTGGGGACCCATAGATTGAGAATCGCTGTTATAGAAAGTTGCAAAAATAAAGGTGCACTTGGCTCTCATTGAGGGTAACCCAATGCCAGAAATTGCCTCAATCAGTCATTGGTATTACTATTGTTGCTTAGATCCATGTGGACCATTTTGCTCAGTGTTCTAGGGTAAAATATGTCACACCAGTTTATCTCCCAGAAGGTTGTCCATTCAGTAGTTTCTGACATCTGTGTTTTTCTCTTTCCTCTTTTTCCATAGGCCTGTCTCAGAGCAATTGATATCAAGATCCTGCAGCAACTAGTAGCAGTGAATGAGGGCATAGAGGCCGTGAAGTGGCTACTAGAGGAGAGAGGGATGCTGACCAGCCGTTGCAGCAGTCTTACCAGCAGCCAGTACAGCTTAGTAGAGAGTCAAGAGACATCTCGGCGTGGCAGTTGGAACAGCCTTCAGGATCCTAATGACAAGTTGGACAGTATATCTATTGGCAGCTATTTGGATACCCTGGCTGATGATATGGATGAATATGGGCAAGGAACTTCCATAGAACCAGTCATGTCATCCACTCCAGGCAGGCCACTGGCTAGACCTGAACTGGAAAGTTCAAAGGCTGAGCTAGACAGAACTCTTCCTGCCAAGAGGGACAAAGAACAAGAGAAAAACAAACCCTACCTTGAGAGGGTCCCTAGCTTGGTTAAAAGCCAAACTGAGCCAAAGAGACCCACCGTGCAATCACCACCAATGGCTAATGGCCTTCTGAGTAGACAAGTCCCAGGACTGGAGCAGAGCACTGAGGCTAAATTACCTTCATCAGCTGCAGAGCAGTCAAGCAAAGGCAGCCCAGCAGGAAAATTTTCTAGGAATAGCAAAGCTGACTTAGAGAACTGCATGATCAAAAGCAGGAGGCACTTGGAGTATGATGCCCACTGGCAGTGGGTTCAGTCTCAAGATGATGTGACGTTCTTGTAGCATCCAAGGCCAAGAGGTCTAGCTGAGAATGGCAAGCTGAAGGCCTCAAGGCACTAGTTGTGAGCACTGTTGGCTGTAAGCTTATATGTTTCTTGCCAAAAAGGTTGCTTTTGATGGGGAATAAACTGGTGGACAGATGATATATATAACACAGAGATTGCATCAGTTGTTTTTGACATTAATCCTCCACCCAACAACAGTCTTGTTTCAGATGAAACTCCTATTTTGAAGGAACTATTGATCTGCTGTCACTACATTTGTCAGCCTTATGCAATTAGATTAACTTCCAAATGTTCTGTGGGTGCTGTGTGGTGATCATACACTGCACACCTACATGAGAGTTGGACATGTTTACCTTAATAGCAGCTGATCACAATAACAGAGTCATTATTGTAATCAGTGCTTTCAGGAGGAGAATGTGTTTGTCTATTCCTGTTCATATCACATGTTTTCCATGACTTTGGTTTGGATGAAGGGTTACTTTTTCCCTTTTCACCAGTTCAGTTATTATTCAGGATTTATATCCCTTTGCTTAAGATTTCAGTCCTGGGTTTAAAGAAAGGGTGGATTGCAATTAATCCAACAATGAAATCTACCAATTCACTTGACTTCACTCACCATGGAAAACATATTTTCAGTGGTAAGAAGGCCAGTTCCTAATTTTGGAACTGAGGGCAGTTGGGTGAACGTGAATGTATGTATGTGCATATGGTTATCATACTGGCCAGAATCCTATTGGTATCTCAAGCATGTGCAAATTTCCCTATGGAAAGTGGAATTTTTATACCACTGACATGTTTAAGAATGTACTAACCAAAAAGGACTGTATCTTTTACTCATGCCTTGCACTTCATTATCGAATGAACACGAGAATGAGAATGTAGTTCTTTAATTGTAACTTGGTCATTCTGTGGTTTATGGTATAGAGCAGGGCTTCTTAAACTTTTCACTTGGCAGCCCTTTCTTCTCGAGAAATGTTTATGCAAACCCAGCTATATTAGTGTATAAAATAGGTATAAAAGCCAAACAATTACTGATAACAAATCAGAATTTTTATGAAGTACAGCTGAAGCATTTTCTACAGAGTCCACTGTAAATACTGTACAACAGATTCATGTAAATGTCTAAAACAGCCATTAGATAACATTCAGAATCTTTTTTTTTCTGTTGCCAAATTTTCCAAAACCTAACATTGCATTACGATGGTGGTTCCCAACATTTAGTCCTCCAGGTATTTTGGACTTCAGCTCCTACAATTCCTAACAGCTGGCTGGTAAGATGGCTGAGATTTCTGGAAGTTGAAGTCCAAAACACCTGGAGGACCAAAGGTTGGGGACCTCATTTGAGATCAGTGCTGACAGTTTAAGAAGCAGTTTTCTAGAGCAGAAAATCACATTTAAATTAAGCTATAAAGAATTCTTTCAACTCATCTGAGTTTTGGAAGGAGGAATAACACACATAAATAAAACCCAGGATTCTAGGAAAGGTGTTTTTATATGTATAATACAACCTCTTTATTGGTAAACTCAAAATACATTCTTACATTTACTCATACTCTTAAAAAAACTTCCTGAAAGTATTTGTGGACCTCTCTAAATCCTCGAGTGCGATTCTATGGTATGCTTCAACCCCAAATATAGTCAAAATATAGAGTTCCCTATTGTCTGCAATTTCAGGTATCCACAGTGTGTGTGTGTATGTGTGTTGAAACATACAGGGCAGTACTGCCCATATAGACGGGCTGTTAAGAAACATTTTGATTTCATGTGCTGGTCCAGGTGTCTGGAGACCAAACTGGAGAATATGTTAATTGCCTGGCTGCAATAAATGTGGTCAGTTTTAGCAGTGAGCTGAGAAATCATGACTGCAGCAGACAGAAAGAGGGAGTTTTCCTTTCTTTTCATGCTATGGTTCTGAACCATCCCAGCCCCAGCTATTTCCTTCCTGGAGGAGGGATGGTTTTTATATGAATGTGGCACATTCCTTGCAAAGCCTGACTTAACCCACCCTACCCTGCCACTGCTGCTGCTTGATGAATAGTAATAAAATTATTAAATTAATCTTTAAAATTAGTCAGGTTAATTGCAATTTCTGACACATCCACGGTGGCCTTGTGTTTTCTTTTCCTGAATGTTATTTTTGTGGCCTGTTATGGTTTGCCATACTTTGTGACATGAACAATGTCATTTACCTGAAGAATGATGTTCAAAAAGTGATTTTTTTTTTGCAATGGTGGCTGCACTCTTTGACTTGTGTCACTTTACATTTCAGTGTTGTACCAGTCCGTGCATCTTCTTTTATCTATGCTAACATACTGGCATGTGAATTTTGGAGGGCAAACAGCTTGTTTGTAACAATGGTGTGGGCCAGTATGGCTCATGCAAAGGGTATGAGATGTCACAAGCAATATTCTCTCTTGCTGAATCCTAATACACAGTCACATTTCAACAATAAAATAATGTTTTTTGCTTCTTTCATTGAACATTAAACTTCTTTGAATCCAGGAGTTTCTTGTAACACTGAGTATTTGCATCTTGTTTCTTATTTTACTTTTAACAGAGCTTATTCATAGAATCATAGAGTTGGAAGAGACCTCTTGGGCCATCCAGTCCAACCCCCTGCCAAAAAGCAGGAAAATTGCATTCAAAGCATCCCAGATAGATGGCCATCCAACCTCTGCTTAAAAGCCTCCAAAGAAGAAGCCTCCACCACACTTCTTGGCAGAGAGTTCCACTGCTGAACAGCTTTCACAGTCAGGAAGTTCTTCCTCATGTTCAGGTGGAATCTCCTTTCCTGTATTTTGAAGTCATTGTTCTGTGTCCTAGTCTTTAGGACAGCAGAAAACAAGCTTGCTCCCTCCTCCCTATAACTCCCCCTCACATATTTATACATGGCTATCATATCTCCTCTCAGCTTTCTCTTCTGCAGGCCTTGATGTGAAATCTGTATCTTTCACCTTGAACTATAAACCTCAAAAAACTAGATTTCAAAACCTGAAAGCCAAATTTCATAAAATATTTGCTTTTATTGGGGGGCATTTGAATTCAGCATCAGTAGACATGATTGAGGAAGAGTCCTTGAAACTGGAGATATGCACTATGTTGGCTTTTAATGTACACAGATAATTATTTTCAGTTTTGATCCAATTTATTTGTGCAACCTAGACTGTCCATCCAGAAATACAAAAAGCAGAATTGGTTTGGACCAAACTCTTCCAACCTCCTGCCCGTAGAGTAGACAAACTCTCCTGGTGACTACAGGAACTCACATGCCAAATCCAGACTAAAGGAGCAGGAAAAAGAAAAAACCTATATAGAAAATAGTTTTAAATAGTTCAGATTTTTAAAAAACCAAGCTGTGCACCACATAGACAGCAAACATAACATTCCATCTATGTTCTCCTCCTATTGTCTTTCTGAAGATGTTCCTTGGTAGGTCCCACTAACAGGGCTATTTTTCTTCCACTGAACTGTCATCACATCCTTGGTGTTTTATTACCAGCCTTCTCCCTCCTTTCCATCCAATTCATGCTTACAGTGGTGGTGTATCCATTCTGAGCTTTATTCAAACTTTAAGAAGGCTATTCCAGACCCTGAACCTATTTGGAGAGATAGGGTTCAGCTTTCTTAAAGCTTGGACTAAAACTCAGAATAGGTATCAGTGGCATCAGCCCCTACCACACCTTATATTCTTTTGAAATTAACATAGTTGAAATTGAAATAAAAAAAATAAAAACAATATTATTGCATTTTCTGTTTAGCAGCAGTAGGCATGGAGACAGCACCTAGTATGGTGGGACAAATGCTCACCATAGGGTCCTTGGGTGGGAGGAGCAGGGAGACACCACACTCTCTAGTGAGCTGGTCTTGTTGACAGAATTGTACACATTAAGAGTAAATTGTACAAATTAGGAGTAAATAGAACTTTTGGGAAGTATGATTTCTGGAGTTCCCCTCACACTGACTCAGGGTTTTTGAGTATTTCAGTTAAAATACAGTGGTTTCAAAGCTCTAGGAATGGTTAGACAATGCAAGAGTTAGTACTGCATCTCTCAAGCAGAGGGATCGAATTTATTTATTCAATTACAGTATTTATATACCACTTTTCTCACCCTGAGAGGGACTCAAAACGGTTTGACTAGGTGGAAGTTGAGCAACAATCAACTCAACACTTACCATAAGGTTAAGCAGAGAAAAGACCTAACTATATAGCCTTCTTGGTAAAACATACAATATACATGAGGCTTTCAACTAATATAGATTGTTCCTAAAGAGCTTGCTATGATTGTCTCTCCTTTTTTTTTGGTAGAGTTGCTCTCTTGAGACCGGATCTTTTAAAATAGCAAGTAATGTGTCTCTTTAAAATACAAGATGTTCCAAGGGATAATGAGAATCATATTATCAAATAAACATTTCCAGTTGTAACTTCCATGGCATATGCTTGCTTTCCCATAGATGCATGATCATTTGCAGATGGATTCTGGGATGTTTAAGCCAGTGACTTATCTGGGACTTCCTCTTCATTTCAGATTCAAAGATAGTCTCCATACAATCTAAAGTCATACTGTGCTGAAATTTCATGGAGTTCAGTCTTCACAGGTTTCACATATCGAGATGAAAAATACATGTCAATTGCAATCCGACCTTCCACTCTTGAATGCAGTTCTTGCATTACTTTGAAGTCATTGTTTCTACAGTTTGCAGCCACATGTGTGAGTGTGTTTGTGTGTGTGTGTGAGAGAGAGTCTGAACAAATTTACATTGTCCAAGCAACTGGATTGTCTCTTCCTACCTTCTCATATTGTACTGGCCATTTCATTGCTCACAAGTTCGGCACAGCTTGATTTCAGTTCAGATGCACATTAGGCAGATTTGCTGCCACATCCTTGCCCTCCTCCTCCTCAACCATCTCTTCTCCTTCTTGCTTTTTCAACCAATTAATCACTTTATTTCAGTTCTCCCTTCTCCCCAAAAGCAAAACTCAGAATGACTTATGGAAGAAAATAAGATAGAAGTAAAACCACAAAGAGCTAAAGTTCATTACAGCTAAATTAAGATAACAGTAAACTCCCTATAGAAGTAAAACCATATAAAACATTAATCTAAAAGCATATATTAAAAATAGTACAGCACTTAAGCAGAAAATCTGTTATAAAGAAAGCAATCAAGTCCCAAATGCATGCTGGAAAAGAAAATACTTGATTTGATGGTGGCAAAGTAGGGCCAGCTTAACCCCTCCAAGGAAGGAAATTCTGGAGTTTCAGAACCACTAATAGTAAGACTCACTTCCACATTCCTATCAAACATGCCCGTGAAAGTGGTGAGGCTGAGGGAAGTGCCCTCCCCAAAGATCCTAGAGCTTGGACAGGTGCCTATGGAGCTTGTCATCAGATTAGCAGTTTCCTTTGAACTAAAAAAAGTGTTATTTTAGTTCTATTTTAAAAATAAGAATTATTTTTAAATTTGTACTTCTACATTGGCATGTGCAAAAAAATTGTACTTATACATTGGTATGTGGAATATATATATATTGCAATTCACCATATGGCATAGTATCGGGTTCCTTTAGGGTATTTAGGACACACACACACTGACCATACACAACTGTGAGAGTGGAATATAATAATTAGGCCTGTGCGGTTTCGTTCGTTATTTCGTTATTAATTCGTTATTTTTACCATATCCGACGCGATTTCAAAACACATTTTTAAACCCGGAAGGGTTTTTAAATATCGAAACAGCAACTCCCACAGTATTTACGAGCTTTCGCCCGTTTTGTAAATGGGGCGGGCGGGGCCTCCGCGCCTCCGCGCGCCATCCAACCGGCCTCCGCGCGCCATCCAATCGGCTCCGGCTCCTGCGCCCTCCTCCTCCTCCTCCTCCTCCCAGCTGTGTTGCAGGAAGCGCTCCGCTCACCCTTACAACCGGCCTCCGCGCGCCATCGAATCGGCTCCGGCTCCTGCGCCCTCCTCCTCCTCCTCCTCCTCCTGGCACTTCCTGCAACACAGCTGGGAGGAGGAGGAGGAGAGGGGCGGAGGGAAGTCCGATCTGCGCGCGCCATCCAATCGGCTCCGGCTCCTGCGCCCTCCTCTTGTGGTTCCCTTTTCTTCAAAAGTAATAGGCATTGTTCCAAAAAGTCTATCTATTTAAGCAGTCAGTGCCTCGATTTTTTCCTTGCTTTCATCTCTTCTGTGCTAAAAATATTTCCACCCACACATCCTTAGGGAAAGGAGAATACATTCCTAGTTAAGTGAACATGGGTGTTTTTCTAGATGGGATGTAGCAGGATATTTCTCTCGGGGACCAGTTCCTAAACATCTGGAGCCTAGAAACAGAAGAAAGAGCTCTCATGGCCTTGCCTGGGAGCAAGAACAAGGTCATATCCCTCTGCGGGTGTTATGATGGTCCCATAGATTGCTAATGGGAAGGCACAGCCCTTCCTTCCTTTTTCCAGTTTGTTAAGTTAGCGCTGCAGATGAAATGGGATGAATGGACCTCAGTGTCTTCCCATAAAGGCTTGTCAGTCAAACAGCTTGGAAAGAAGCAGCCAGATTTCTTCAACATACTGACAAGTCAGACACTGGTAGAATATAATATTCAGCAGGCACAAAAACAATGGCCGATATGTTCATGTATGTGTTCATGTGTGAATTTTTATTATTCATGCCAAAAAATAAAAATAACCAATATGTGAAACTGCCTGGGTCAGAAATAACTGTTCAGAGGTAGTGGGAAATGATGAATTCTCACCCTTTTCTTCAAGCCAGAGCTCTGTGGCTAGATGAAAGTTGGGCATTTTTCAGTGTGGCACGATGGCACATTGTTATGCAATTCCTCAGTCAGATACAAAACAGACACACATTGGAAAAGCAACCATCACACATCTGCCTCCCTCTTCCATAAAATTACTGTTGCAGGCATTGAGTGATTTCTGCTTCCCTGAATTGCATAGTTTGGGAGTACAAAGTGCTAAGCCACCAGATGGTAGAAAGAAGCACAAATGAGTTTGAAGGCATGGCAGAGGTCTATCTTCTCACTGGCCTAAGATGATATCAACAGAGCTAGTGTTCAAAGCACTGACATAAAACAGTTGAAAATACAGAGCATTTTTTCTTCACCTTGAATGCTATTCAGAATATCAATGGTGACTCCTGATTGGTTGAGAAGGCCATTGGCTGTGGAGCATTTTCTGTGGTTGATTCTTTGAGTGGCAAGAAAATTAATAAATTGTCATTCACTAATTCAAAGCATTAGACCGTCTGTTATTCTGGCCCCCTCCCTGAGAGGGGTATGGACTCTAGGAATGTGGTGTAGTAACATATAAATTAGTCCTTGATAGATTTAATGGTCCAGTCTGGAAAAACACAATAGGAAGCATCCTGTCTATACAGTGGGTACTGTATTTACAAATGGCTAAAAAGCTTAATGGGTAAGGTTGTCTGAAACCTATGTGCTGAACCTCAAAAGTGCATATCTCCGGCTTTATCAACGAAAGCAGGACATTCAT